CTGTGTCTGCATTGTTTCACTCAACATAATGTTCTCCATTTCTGTTTATGTTGCTACAAATGATAGAAGTTTTAAAATGGCTGAATAGTATTCCATTGTGTAAATACTTGTATACCACACTTTGTTTATCCATTCCTCTGCTGAAGGACATCTGGATTGATCACATATTTCAGCTGTTGTGAATAGTACTCCAGTAAACATGGGGATGCAAGTCTCTCTTTGGTATAAAGATTTCATCTCCTTTGAATGTATGCCCAGCAGTGGAATTGCTGGATCATGTGATACTTCTATTTTTAGTTTTTGAGGAATCTCTGTACTCTTTTTCATAATGGCATACTAATTTATATTTCTGCCAACAGTGTATAAATTTCCTTCTCCAAATAGCCAGTATATTTTACTTGTCTTTTTGCCATTTTAACTGGGGTGAGATGATATCTCATTGTGGTTTTGACTTGTATTTCTCTGGTGATTCATGAAATTGAGCATTTTTTCACGTATTTGTTGGCTGTTTTTATGTCTTTTAAAAAGTGTTCAGTTCAAAGCCGGGCATGGTGGTACACGCCTGTAATCTCAGCACTCGGGGAGCTGAGGCAGTAGGATTGATGCAAGTTCAAGGCCAGCCTGAGCTATAGAGTGAGTCCAAGGCCAGCCTGAATTGCATAGCAAAACCCTGTCTCAAAAAAATGAAATAAAGTAAGATAAAATACAAAGTGTTCAGTTTTAGCCCATTTTTAAATTGAAATTTTTTTGGTTCATCCTTTTGGGTTTCTTATATAGTCTGATGTCAGTTCCTGGGTTATGTACCACTTACAAATATTTTATACCATTCTGGCCAGGCATAGTGGTGCATCCCTGTAATCTCAGCACTCAGGAGGCTGAGGCAGGAGAATTGCAGTGAATTCAAGGCAGGTCTGGGCTATATAAGTGAGTTCAAGACCAGCCTGCACTACATAGTGAGACCTTGTCTCAAAAAAAAAAAAAAAAAAAAAAAAAAAAAAAGAAAACAAACAAAAACCAAATATTTTATCTCATTTTGTAGATTGTCTGAATCTATTCTTTCTTTTGCTGTGCAGGAGCTTCTCAGTTTGATATAATCCCACTCGTCTATCTTTTCCTTTTATTGTCTGTGCTTTTGGAGACTTATTTAAAAAATTATTTCCTATACCAGTATCTTTTTTTTTTTTTTTTTTTTTTTTTATGAGACAGGGTCTAGCTATGCAGTTGAAGCTGGCCTTGAGCTCACTTTGTAGCCCAGGCTGGTCTCGAACTTGCAAGGATCCTCCGGCCTCAGCCTCCCCAGTGCTGGGATTATAGGCGTGTGCCACTATGCCCAGCTTGCTATACCAGTATCTTGAAGTGTTTCTCCTGTGTCCTGTAATTTTGTGGTTTCTGGTTTAAGATTTAGACTTTAGATCTATTTTGAGATGATTTTTGTGTGAGAAAGAGAGCTAGTTTTGTATGAGAAAAAGAGCTAGTTGCGGGGCTGGGGATTTAGCTCAGCGGCAAAAAGCGCCTGCCTGGCAAGCGCAAGGTCGTGAGTTCGGTTCCCGGTACCGGAGAAAAACCAAAAAAAAAAAAAAAAAAAAAAAAAGCTAGTTGCATTTTTATGCATATGCATATCCAGTTTCCTCAACAGTATTTCTTGAAGAGACTGTCTTTCTTCCGTGTTCTTGGTGCCCTTGTCAGAAATCAACTGACCATATCAGTGTGGATTAATTTCTGGGTTTTCTTTTTGATTGGTATGTGTCTCTGGTTTAATGCCAGTATCATGCTGTTTTAGTAACTATAGATGTGTTGTATGTTTTGGAGTCAGATATTGTGATGCTTATAGCATTATTTTTGTTTTGTTTTGTTCCCACCTGACCTTCATCAAGTTAATTAATCTGTCTGATCATTGATACTGTTAATCTTTCCATGTTCATTTATCGTACTAGGGATTGAACCCAGGGCCTTCAAGATAAGCTATGTCCTCAGCTTTTTTTTTTTTTTTCCAGACAGGATTTCATTAAGTCTTTAAATTCCCTAGCCTGGGCTTGAATTTGTGATCCTCCTGTCTCAGTCTCCCTGAACACTAGGATTACAGGCATCATGGATTATTACCAGGCCTGGCAGTGCTACTAGTTTTTTGTTTTTTTTGAGGTAGGCCTTGCTGTGTTGCCTAGGCTAGTTTCATTGTTTTGTTTTTGTTTTTTTGCCTAGGCTGGTCTTGAACTCCTGGGATCAAGTGGTCCTCCTGCCTTAGCCTTCTAGTAGCTGGAATTACAGGAGCACGCCACTGTGTGAGACTACTGTTAGTTTTTAAGTAATGGAACTCTACCACTGACTTAAAAATTATAATCAATAGTAATGTGCAGATTTTTGAGACCTAAATTTGTTCTTGTTCTAGTCAGTGTTAGATATAATAAATCTTAACATTTGGTGTCAGTTCCAGATATGATGCTAGGTGTTAATACACATTATTTAGAATCATCACAGCAACATTTTCAGTGTAGGTATTAGCCTCAGTTTACAGATAAGGTAATTGAAACTGAGACAGATTAATTGATGAAGGTCAAGTAGCTAGTGAATGGTGTATTTGACTCTAAAGTCTATGATCTTCATTGTGTTTTTCTCATAGAGCTTCACCTTGCATTTGTGGTAGGTAATCCATGCTTCCTCCTAAATATGATACACAGTCCAACTTTTGTCTAGTATGGTCTTAACTCATTCTGTATTTGTGTTGGAATCCTAACCAGACTACCTCCTTTACTTTTTATTTTTAAGATTCCCTGTCCCCAGGCTTCATTTTGAGTTTCCTCTTCTATAATACTACTAGCCATTGTGTATAACTAATATGAATAGTATAATATTTGGAAAATGAATGTTTAAAATCTTTGTATTGCTTATTTATAAGTAATTTGAGAGGGATTCATTCTAAGTGCTGATAGCTATGGGTCACTGTTTTTAAAACAATAACTTCCCTCCTGAGGGCTGTCATGTTTTCCTGCCCTGTTGGTGAGAAAATCACATGAGATGAACTCAGAGACATCACTATAATGTAAGTAGACTTGATTTTCTCCTTCTTCTTTTTACCTTGTAGATCAGTGTAATGACTCTTTTATGAGAAAACTACTTTGGCTTTTACTTTTTATAAAATCGTAGTAGTACATGTTCTGTGTTTCTTAGATGTCTAAAATTGTGATCTTGGGGATTTAGCTCAGCAGTGCAGCGCCTGCCTGGCAAGTGCAAGGTCGTGAGTTTGATTCCCAGTACTGGAAAAAAACAAAAACAAAAACAAAAAATTTAAAAAATAAAATTGTGATCTTATTTTTTCCAATATGTGGTTGTTAAGTTGTAATTACAGCACCATTTCTGTGCTATTTTGTCCTCATAATCAAGCATAGTAATGATAAGTTGCTGAATGATTCTTCTGCTTTTTTTCTATTTTCATGAGAATTAGTATTTTTTTTTTTTTTCTCCGGTACCAGGAACTGAACTCACGACCTTGTGCTTTGCCACTGAGCTAAATCCCCAGCCCCGAGAATTAGTATTAATTATTTTTTTCCAGCTGTGATAGAAACTAAAGTCAGTGACAGTCTTGCTTTTTTTTTTTTTTTTTTTAAGACAAGGTTTTGCTATTTAGTTCAGGCTGGCCTTGAACTCACTATGTAGCGCAGCTGGCCTCAAACTCACAGCAATCCTCCTGCCTCAGTGTCCTGAGTACTGGGATTACAAGTGTGATTACCACCACGCCTGGCTTCATTGCTTTAAAAAAAATTCTTGTCAGGAAGTATGTACTTGCTGCATTGGTGGGATATGGTAAAAATGAGTATCTGTGTGAAATTCTATCAAAGCACAGTGTGAAGTTTTGGCTTTAGCCAGTTGATAGTTTATTAACTCCTATTTGTCTTACAATATTCTTATTGTACTTATTCCAAGTGTGATGCCATTCTAATTCTCTCTTCTTCATGTATATGTTGTTTCTCTCTTTCCAGTCTTACAGGTTCTTTGTGTTCTAATTCTTCATAATATGTGTCAATATGAGTCTGTTTTTATTGGTTACGCTAGACATTTCATTGTGTTGCTGAAACAAACACAATGCTAAACATTCAGTGATTATTTTTTCCGCTACATTTTCTATTTTCCTCTGAAACTTTCAGTTTTCAACAGTGGGACATATTGTAATATTTTTTTCCTATTTCAGTTTGCTTACATCTTTGAGAGTTTTCTTCAATTTAGTCTTTCAGCCTCTTTCATATAGATATTGAACCCAGGGCATGCATGTGCTAGGCTTGCAGTCTGCAGCTGAGCTATCTCCCCAGGCCATTTTGTTTTGAGACAGTCTTGCTAACTAGCCCAGGGTAGCCTCAGATTTGTAATCCTCTTGCCTCAGCCTTTCGTACAGCTGAAATTATAGGTAGGACCAGTGCCAGATTCAGTTTTGCTTTGACTCTTTCAATCATAAGGCTTATAAATAAAATGGTATATTGTTTATGTTATTTGTATATTAAACAAATTTTCAGCTGGGAGTATAGTTCAGTGGCACAGCACCTCCCTGGCAAGCTCAGGGTCCTCAGTTTCATTCCCAGTACCAAAAAAAATTCTCTTTTCTCTTTTCTCTTTTCTTTTCTTTTCTTTTCTTTTTTTCTTTTTTGAGACAGTCTTGTTATGTACCACTGCTTCACTGCACCTGGCTAACAAGTTTTATCTTCTAGGAGCTCTTTCTTATTATGATGATGATGTCATCATCATCATCACCGTTGTTTTTATTGTTTTTAGATGAGATTTCACCTTATAGCCCAAGCTGGCTTCAAACTCAAAATCCTCCTGCCTCAGCCTCTAGAGTGTAGGCGTTTACAGGTATTTGCCCCTATGCCTGGCTTTGTTTTTTGTTTTGTTTTTTTAAGAGTAGGAAAATTATTGGCGAATAGGAATAGCTCCTGAGAGACAGGAGAGGTCCTCCCAAATGGGTTGCCACAAGCCCACTTGTCAGAATCCGTGAAACAAAAGCAAACTCTTACCTCCTTCTCATTATCTTGCTGGGTCCTCCAAAATGATACAGGGGAAAAATGGAGCTCTCAACTTGCTAGATGTCACTGAGTTCATATTCCCCAAAGTTGAAGAATGAATTCTAAGGAACAATGGAGGTTAAGAGTAGGAAAATTTGGGGGGGAACAGGAATAGCTCCTGAGACAGGAGGGGTTCCCAGGTGGATTCTGAGTGAGTTGCTTGTCTGGCTTGTTTAAAATACAGGCATGTTCTTATTTCAGGTTTACAATATCATCTTTTCTGTCAGAATATCAAGGATAAATTTTGTTTTTAGTTTTGAAGTTCCATTTTACTGTATCTTTCTTTCTTTCTTTCCTTTCTTTCATCTCTGTCCTTAACATTAAAACTTTTCTCAGATGTTTGGTGATTGTTGCTATCTGCTTATTCATTAAATAGTGCACCAGAATCTTATTGTTAGCTCTTTGGTAACCAATGATGCTTGCTAACTGCAGGGCTCATTGCAGGAGTTTTTACTAGGTTACCCTTGATGTCTTTTCTCTTGGGCCAGTTAGATTCCCAAGAGAAGAATCTAGTAGTCTTTTGCCCATAAGTATAATCCTGTTGTACTGTCAGGTGAGAGTGTAGGAAAGGATTGAGGGTTTCATCATACACATTTCAGAGAGACTTATTTCCTTGCCCTGTTTTCAGTCATCTCTCTCAATCAACCTTGTTTTTACCTCTTGGGAAAATTTTATCTTCTGCCTAAAGGAAATGTCACCTAGAGTGGGGAGGTGTGGGAATTTGGGGAGAGGGTTAGCAACTCGTTAAACAAACTATCAGTCTTGTTTTCAGCTTTGCCTTCACCCCTGTTTCCCAAAGTAGCTGGTATGCATTTACTGAGTGTTAGGGGGTTTTTTGTTGCAAATCAGTTTCTTGGCTTTCCTCATTGTTGGCTTAAATTGGCATAAAGTTTTAGCTTTTTCAGGTCCTAAATCAGTTACCAACTATTCTACATTCCAGCATCTAAAAATTTCGTTGCTATGGTTTCATCCTGTTCTTTTTGTTCTTGTGAATTTGTATCATTAAAAAATATATCTGTTTAGTGAAGTTTCAGTAAAACATGGGTAAATGTGTCTTCAATCTCTTTCTTTTCTTGGCAGTTCTTTTTTTTGTAAACTGAGGTGCTTGTTTTGAGACAGGGTTGTGCTAGACTGACCTTGAACTTGCTGTGTAGCCTAAACTGCTCTAGAACTCTTGATCATGAGTGCTGGCATGTACCACACCTGACCCAGTCAGCCATTTAAAAATATAGTTGTCCCTCACTCTATCATGGTTCACTTATTGCGACTTCACAGTATCATGGGTTTTTAAAAAATACATATTTAATTCTGTATTGTGGAGTTTTTGCTATGTTGTAGGATTTTGTGGTATGTAGGTGGTTATATAATATTTATGATTTTAATTATTTTTTTCTAAAAAATTTAAAACAACATAAAATATAAAAAATATTAATTCAAACATATCAAAAGAATATTAGGGCTGGGGATTTAGCTCAGCAGCATAGCACCTGTCTAGCAAGCGCAAGGTTGTGGGTTCGATTCCTGGTACCAGAAAAAAAACCCAAAAAGCAAAAAAAACAAACAAACAAACATTAAATCAAAGTAAAATACAGTATGTATTTCATCAGCTGTACACAGTGGAAATGCAGTGGAAATGCAGTACGCCATTACTGCTTGTGCAAGTTTGCCAACGTGAGGTTGTACAGGGCACACTCTTGGCTGATGGAATGGAAGGTGGCCAACCACAGCACTGTGTTGTGTATCCTGGGTGCTGATTGGCTCAGTGACTGTAGCGTCTGTCTGTTTGCTCTCCCACACTGTGCCCATACATTCAGCATCTTTCCTTGTCCACTTCACATCAAGTACCCTTATAGAATTTTACCTGTTGTTAAAATTGCGTAGTTTTAAGAGTGTAGAAAGTATTTATGAGCATATGAAGTGTTTATAAGAGTGTGGGAAAGGTAATAAGAGAGTGGGAAAGGTTTATAGCAGTGTGGAAGGGTTTATAAAGCCTTAAAATATATATAAATAATAAAATAAATATAATGCCGCTACTTGGCAGATTTCCACCTATCGCAGGGGTCTCTGGTACGTAACTCCTGCAGTAGGTGATGGATCACACTATTGTATTGTGTTTAGCAGGTCCACACTAAATGCAACCACCAACTCCTAATAGATTCAAAACTTTTTATCACCCCATAAAAAAATACCCATTAATTAATTACTCTGCATTTCTCCTCACATCCTTTGGTAGCTTCTACTTTCTGTTTACCTATGCTGGATTTATATATAAAAGCTATGTAATAATGTGACCTTTTCTGTCTAACTTTGACTTAGCATAGTATTTGTTTGTTTGTCTGTTTGAGACAGGGTCTCACTATGTAGTGCAGGCTGGCCTCAAACTCAAAGCGATCCTTCTGCCTCAGCCTCCCTAGTGCTAGGATCACAGGTGTGTCCCACCACACCCAGCTGCAGCATAGTATTTTCAAAGTCCATTCTAATTGTAGCATCTAAAAAACAAAAACAAAATAAATTGTAGTATCTGTCAGAACTTTGCTCCTTTTTGTATTCCATGGAAGGTACCACAATTTGCTTATTTATTCATCAGTTGAGAAATATCTGAGTTTTTTCTACCTTTTGGCTATTATAAACAGTGCTTCTAAAAGCATTTGTATAGGTGTTTCTATGTAGACATGTTTTCATTTTCTCAGATATGAATGATATGATACGTGTGTGGAATTGCTCAGTCATGATAAATCTTCATTTAATTTTTGAGGCACTGTCAGACTGTTTCTCACAGTGCTTATATTGCTTTACATTGTCACCAGTATTGAGGGTTTTTGTTTCTCCACATCCTCAGGAATGCTTGTTACTTTCTGGTTTAATTTTTTTTTTTTTAATTAAAGTTATCCTGGTGGGTATGAAATGGTATCATGTGAGTTTGATTTGCATTTCCTTAGCAATCAGTGACCCTTTTTTTAATCCTCCCAATGTTTATACCCTGTTATATATTTGAGGTGTTTTATTTCCTGTTGTATACTTCAAGTGTGATTAGTGTCTTTTAAACAGCATTTCTTACACTTGTTGATCATTTCTGTATCTTTGGAGAAACATCTGTTCGTATTCTGTGCCCTTTTTTTTTTGGTCTTTTTGAGACAGGGTCTCGTGTGCAGTTCAGGCTGGCCGTGAGCTCACTTTGTAGCACAGGCTGGTCTCGAACTCGCAACGATCCTCCTGCTTCAGCCTCCCGCTTGCTGGGATTACAGGTGTGTGCCCCCACACCCGGCGACTGTGCCCATTTTTTACTTGAGTTCTTTTTGTTGATGCATTGTGAGTTCTTTATATATTCTGGGTACTAAACTTTTATCAAATATTTGATTTGTAGCTATTATTTTGTGTTCTATAGTTTGTCTTTTTACTTTTTTGATAGTGTCCTTTGATGCACAACATTTTTAACTTTTTATCAAGTCCACTTGGGTCTAGTCTTTCTTTTGTTGCCTGTGCTTTTAGTATTGAATCTAACAATCCCTTGCCAAATCTGAGGTTATATAACTATACTTCTAAGTTTTGGGG